TGGAGGTGGAGCGCGAAAGAAAGAATCGAAGTCTTGCTCGAGATAGTGAAGAGGGATGGATACCGGGACTGGCGTTGGAGGCTCTGAGTCCGGTAGTCCAAAGGCAGCAGCGCGGATAAACGGTTCGGTTGTCTGAGGATCGGAGCAGAGGGCAAAGGGGAAGCTGACAGGAAGATCTGATGGGCTAAGTGGTCCTGAAAGACGATTGGGACAGGTCTCTTCGTCGCAAGGGTACCACCCGTCTTCTTCGCTATGATAGTCTCTTTCTTCCTCTAGCTCGAAGATATGAGGTAGTCCTCGACAATCGATAGGTGTTTCTTCTTCTTCGGAGGATGTGGAGTTGATAGCTTGTTCAACCTCCTCGTCCGAAGAGATAGAGGGTTCCGCTGCTGTTGTCGGATCCAAAACAGCCAGGAGACAGGGAAACGCGATGTAAGATGGAGAGCCACGTGCGAAAGCGACGAGATATGAACGCCTATTGAGGCAACCAGGAAGCAAGCAAGCTGGAGATGCCTACAACCCGGGTAGAAGTCGCCAACTGTGCCCAAGAAAAGCTAGCTAGGTACGTATGCAAAAGGCTATCGTAAGGAGGGTCCACGGTTGTCCTCCGGTCCTAAGGTCACTAACGACCCCGGTACAAGTGCTGGCGGGCGCAAGTGCGTGGCCTGGCACAGGGATACCTGAAACCCTGTACGCCTCGAAAGCGCAATAGGGTGCTACACGATACTAGATACTAGACTAAAAGCGCTCACGGGCACAACTGTGCAAAGTCACCGTGGCAGCAGTGTCGGCGGGCACAGTCAAGAGTTTAGGAAAGTGGAGGGGATGCACGGGCAGAACCGAGTGTCGACAGAGGGGGATGATGGGTGCGCGCAGTGATAAACGTCAACACAAAACTTCGGTCAGAGCGCAGGGCTCATAACCTGATAAACTCGGGGCTGTGAAGACAAAGATTAGATCCGACTAGAGTCGAAGCTAGATCTTCAGTCAGTAAGGAAAGACTATATTGCAGCAACAAACTGTACCTAGAGTCGAAGCAAGACTACAAAGGTTAAGTAAGTAACTACAAGTTAGAGATAGATGTAACGAAGTACTCACTCTTCAGTCAGTAAGGAAAGACTGAAGAGGGAGTGTCACGGCCGCGCTCCGCATAGCGCCCATGACACCCTCTGCCTGCCTTTCTCCAACCGTACGGACCGGGACTCTCACCTCTCAGCGCCAACAACACCTCGGGATCCGCCGTTCCCCCCCTCCAAGCCCACCAGCACTCCATACAGCGCCCTTTTCCAGCAGCACCATAATGTTTGCCACGTGCAGCCTCACGTCGACATCCAGGTTCCTGGCGCTCTGTCTAAGCGTCTACATACCCCCGGCAATGCACTGCCACCACGCTCCCTCTCTCATGGCCTCACGATCGTTAGATTAGATAAGGATCACCCCACAGTAGTTAGTACGACATACACCCCTCTGACTGGTGCCTAGTACTTAAGCCCTCAAGCCTCTGGTCGTGCCAAACATGTACAAATAGCTACATGGTCTGTGCACCGGTCTACAGGTATATAGAGTAGAGCCCTTTAGCCCCTAGTCCCCATCTCGACCTCTTACATCATTGGGGACTAGGTGAGTTACTAGCTGTATCTTCGTACTTGTCAATATACTTACGTCATTGGGGACTAGCCTGTGCCTGCGTGCCGCTACGTCTTGCTGGTAGGTTTGTGCCTCCGTGCCGCCCCGGCCCTTTCGACCCTTGGTTCGGTTCCCTGGTACGTCGGTGCCGTACTGTGCGAGACCCCTCTGTCCGCACCGTCGCCCGCCCTCTGCCTTGTATATTCCCTCTCTCTCCCTCTCCTCCTACGTCCTCAGTCTTACGCTATGCTCGACTTGGCGCCGATCGCTGAGCCTCGGGCCGTCGCGCCTAGTCTCCGCGACAGGGAGGACACAATCTGAAGTCCTTATATACTACAGAGAAGTGTCCATGACTAATCGAAGAGTGGTTAGTCACATGTACCATAGTGCGATGAATAATACAATGACAAAAGAATTGCGACGTATCGCACCATAGGATGAGTAAGAGATGAGTAAGACATAGACCTGTCTAGACCGTTCTGGAGTAGCACGGATTGTCCTAGACAGTACCAGAAGAGTCCGGAAGCATAGCTATAGTACACAAGCAGAGAGTCCCAAATATGGTAACATACTACATAAGCGACTACAGCTAAGCGCTAGGAGATGCATAGCCTCATATAGTCCGGACCGGATAAGTCCAAGTTCAACAGAGGGACATCCCTCCCAGATATTCCATGTGAACCCCAAATATTTGGGATGCATGAAGGGCGTGAGGGCTCCCCCTCCCCCAAATATTTACCAAATATTTGAGTATTTTCCCCCCTTCTCTCTGAGGCATGCGACGCAGCACATGGCCACACCTCCACATATTCTCCAGATATTCAGTTGAAAATATTTGGCCGCTAACGAATATCTGAGACGGTGCTTCTTCCCACGACCAGTATCTGCACTCCTCTAGATATTTGGACAAATATCTCATACTATTAGTGAGGCTCAGGTGATACAAGAGGTAATTATGCTATTGCTCGCGTTGTACTTAGCATCAAAGGGCTCCAGGCCACGCAGTAGTCGCGCATGGCTGCCAAAACAAGTCCTCCGGCTCACCCTGGCTGTTCTCGGACGGCCGCCTCCTCTCGCGCTTCGTCTTCTTGTCCTCCTCCTTCTCCTGGCGCTCCTTGTCATGGTCATGCCCGTGCAGCGTGCGCCGCTCTTGTGGCATCATCTCCTTCATGATCTTGATCGCCGCGTTGTCCCAAAGGATGCAGACCACAGAGCTGCGCGAGGAGTGCAGGGAGCGCCCCGTCCAGTCGACAGAGATGCCTGAGATGATGGACCGGCGCGGCCAAGCTTGAACGGGTTCACGGAGGTGGCGGGCACAGCCTTCTTTGCCTGCTGCTTGGTCTTTGCGCGACAGTTTTGGAACCAGACCTAGGGCACAAGGGGAGATAAGAAGTCGTTTTTGGAGACAAGTCATGTCAAGTTCTTGATCAGTGCATGGGACGCGAAAGACGAAAGGGGGGGGACACACCTGGACACTGCGAGGAGTCATGTTGAGCTCGGCAGCGAGCTTCTTGTAGAGCGACACATTGGGCTTCGTATCATACTTGTGAACGCCTTCGAGGACCTTGGGTTGAGCGCCAGTGGTGCGCTTGCGGTGCTTGACCTCGTTGGGGGTGTAGGGAAGAAAGTGCGTATACCGAACTAAGACTGGTCCATCCCCGGACAGATGTGTCCTGGAATGCAGGTCTGGCTCTAAAGGGGAGGGTGGACGTCGTGTGTGGGGTCGAGGGCGAGACGGAGGTCGATGGGTGGTGGGGCCATGGGGTAGGGATGGTGGTGGATGGAACTGGGGATGTTGTGTGAGGCAAGGTGGTAGAGAGCGGGCTGGGTTCTGTTCTTGACGCCGACGGAGGGAAGAAGGGCGATGGCCAAGTAGGAAGAGGGCGCGTGGAGAGAAGTGAGAGATGGAGCAGAGGAGAGGGAGAAATGCTGGCGGGTGCCAAGTTGTCACGTACAGCACGGTGTTCGCCTCCTCAGCCCAGCGCTTATCAGTCGTGGATTCTTAAGGAGACCCTGCCTACAGCTACTAAATATTGCGACTTGCACACATTGCAACAGTCTACCAAAAGGCAAGGTGTGTGTGGCTTGTATGTGGACGCAATTGCACTGGTCCACGCAGGGGGACAACGGTGTGAGCGGATAGGTCTGTATGCGCGCGAGAAACAATTGATCGTCTAATGTACCAATGTAACACGAGATGGGGCGACCAGCCTGAGACGCCGATGGGGCAACCGCTGCAGCCACGGAAGGCTGACCATCACCACGAACGCGCCAACTGACGCGAACGATAACGCGGGTGAGGCGGCGAGCGCGAACCCGAGCCACTCCACCCACTCTTAGAAGTAGTCCGGGTACGAGATGAAGCGGTACAGCGGCCCGTGCGGGATTGCCTAGTGCTCCAGAAGACGGCGGACGTAGCGACCATAAGGTGTGACTTAGAGAGTGAGGGCGTGTGGAGGAGCGAGATGAGCGTGCGATTTGAGGTAGTACCTCATGCAGAGGAGTGCGAACAATGTTGGAGGCTGCGTGGGCCAGAGACAAGTGGAGAGGTAAGGGTAAACCTCAAATATCTGAGATGCATGGAGGGAGCGAGGGGAGGAGGTACCCCTCCTCCCCCAAATATCTGCGTATATATTGATCTTGCACCCTGAGGCACATGATGCCGCACACGTCCAAATGTTGTTCAAATATTCACACTCAGAAGATATTTGGTAGCTCATGAATATATGAGACACTACTTCTGCAGGCGACAATTATCTGCGCCCCTCCAAATATTTGGACAGATATCTCGTACCAAAGCAGCACAATATGTTGAATCCGGGGGGCGAAGGCCTCTCCCACAGGTGGCAACAACAGCGGATAGCCTGCAACTCACCTAGAAGGGTTGGTTGATTGTAAGAGGCTTGTAAGAGCGATGAGAGGAGACGTTCGAGTGAACTGGACTGTAGATTGGGGGTACAGAGGTCCCCTATATATACTACTGTACATCTGTGGCTACATAGTACTATACAGTACCTTCCCAGGATGCACAGTCGCACAGAGAAGCTGTGCGTACACAGCGAAGCTGTGTGTGTACCACATGAGTAGTACAGCCTCGGTTATTGCAGTAACCGGCTGTGCCGTTCCATATCTTGTGACGGCTGTGTTAGGCAAGCTGTCTAAACCAGCGCCTGTTCAACACTCCCCCTCGCTAAGTATCCGAATGGTTACGCAAGCGTAGCAGGCGCTTTAAGCAGCTCTGGACTTTGGGAAGCGGAGACCAAGTTGTGAGCGAAATTTCAAGAACTTCACTACACCAAGGTTCTTGGTAAAGATGTCCGCAGGATTGTCGTTTCCGTCTATATAGAAGACATCAACGATTCCTTTATCATGTACCTCACGGATATAGTGATATCGGATGTCAATGTGCTTTGACCTTGACTCCGTCACAGGAT